GGGAAGGGAAGGGAAGGGAAGGGAAGGGAAGGGAAGGGAAGGGAAGGGAAGGGAAGGGCCTGGTTCCCCTCATTATTCCAGGTAAAAGTTTAATTCTACTGGCTTTTACCTTCTTCTGAAACTTGCAAATTTGGGTGAGAAGCATTAAGCAAGAGAGGTAGCAGGTGGACTAGAGAGGAGCTAGGACAGGAATGAGAGAGGGGGAGGGAAGGAAGACATGCAGCTAGATGGAAAATGGGGCGGGCCGTCTGCAGAGAAGCAACCACGGATGATCTTGTGTTGAGGCCAACTTCAGACGACATTTGGGGCACAGGGCCAAAGTGTCAGGAAAAGTGGCTGCCTATTCAAGGGACTTTCCCTGACCCGTTCACACCTTTGAAGACCGCAGAGGCAGCCTTTAGAAATGAATCCAGGTCAACCCAGGAATTGCACAGTCTCTTAAGATCTTACGTTGCTGGCATTCAGCCCCTATAAGAATCTCACACACAATACATTATATATTGAATACAATATATTCAATTTATATAGCCGCCCAGAGTCACTGATCTGAGATGGGCGGCTATATAAATTGAATAAATAAATAAATAAATAAAAATACATGCGTAATTATTCTACCAGCTGCTGGAGAGAGGCTAATCAAAAAGGGACTTTCCTCCATCTTTGGTGGGAATGCAATAAAGTCTCCAAAATTTGGAGGGAGGTCTTTAACAAGCCAAACAAAAAAACTGAGTTCTCATCACATTTAGGCATATTCCACATATTTGATGGAAAGAATAAAAACGTTATGAAGGAAGAAAGTTATTCTCCTGCTTTCAGCAGCAAAGTGAATCGGTGCCTACCGATAGAAGCATTTGGATAATCTGCTTGAAAAACGGTTTGATGAGATTTGGTTGACAGCTGTGCTCCAGAAAGTCTCTGGCAAAATTTGCTCAAAAAACCAAGAGGGAAGTCTTTATTTTACCTGGAGTGGCAGGACTACAGATGTTTAATAAATGACAAAATGAAAAACTGTCAGCCTGTATGGAAAATGTAAATGGCCCGAGGGAAGACTTGAACAGAGAAGCTATTGCGTGCCCCATTTGTACAGAAACCTAATCACAAAAGTCTGGTTTTTTGTTTAAAGAAGAAGAGATTCCAGATCTAAACTCCAGTGCTGAGAATGGGGGAGGGGGGGGCACCCACCTGACAAGATGATGGGGTCTATTTCATTGTATTCCCTTAAGACCCAGATGAACAGCCGAGCCAGGTCCTGACGGCATGAGAGAAGAAGCTGGTAAGAGATGCGTGGCTTTTCCGTTTACACTCTGGTGGACCATCCACCTCACAGGCCCTCCTCCACCTTCAGAGCATGCTTATTTTTCCCTGGTGCTGCACGTCCAAAACCTGTGGTCGTCTGCCTGGCGCTATCACTCAGAGGAGCAGCAGCCTTCACGTGGCCCACGACTCTCGGACAGGATCTGTTTACTAGGACCCGTCTCTCAACCCAGCATCTCCTCTTTCTTGATCCTGCTCGGTGCCATGGTGGTACCTCTCAAGGGAAAGACCACTTTGGATCTTTGTTCACTAAAAAGTCCTTTGTGATTTTATCTAAGCCTGTCCTTGCACCTCCCTAGGATTAATCTCTTTTTCATTTCTCCAACACATTGTCCGTCTTGACTATTCTCGAAGGGGAGAAACCAAACTGTTGCTATCGCTTCTTCCCTGTCAGCTTAAGATCCTAAAGCGTGCTGGTTGACACAATCCTTGCCTTTTCGATACGTGACATTAATCTACAGAAAACAAGTCAAAATTTCCCTTGCTGTTGGGTGCAACTGAAAGATATGCCTGGTTCCTCTTCCACTCCTGCCCGCATTATATAAATGAAGGATGCACCACATATTTTGGATCAAGGGACAAGACTTGACCTTTGGATGGGGTCCCAGGATCATATATTAAAAAGCGTTTTTGTCATTCATTTAGCTTCTATTTTATCACATTTAAAATTTTAGTTTGGTCACAATTTCCAGAGACTCTCTGGGAACCACATCTAAAACTCTCCAGGAACCATCTGAACTGAAGCTCCTGATTGTGCACCCTCAGATCCATCTTTCAGTTCTTCCTTCTTTCCCCAACATGCAACGTGGTTATTCAGCTTACCAGAGAGTAAATAAACTGCCTCCGAGGCTTTCCTGTCCCCCAGACTGTGACATTTGTGCCGTTTTCTGGAGGAAAAGAATGGAGAAAGTTGGGCATTAGACTTCTTCTGCCTCCCTCATTCATCACTTCTCCCTGCAAGGAACTTCCTCCTTCCCATCGCAGCTCCTTTCCATAAACCACACTTTTGATGCTGATTTAGATTTTGTTATTTATTAGTGGTTTCCTTTATGTTGTATGTTGCCCAGAATCCTTTGGGACTGGGGTGGGTTATAAGTACCGTAAATGAATACATTCCACAGGCAGGCATCAAAAGGAGCTTTCTGCGCACAGACCCTCCACTCACACCCCTCTCCCTGAAAACATGGGATGCAAACCTGGCCCTGGGAATTTGGAAGGGATAAACAAACTGCCAAGTGCAGAAGAGGTTCAGAAAAGATTCCTCAGCCCTGGGAAAGAGGAACGGGTGAGAAAGGAACTCAGAGCAACTCTGCCTTGATTTTGTTTGGTATAAGACGAAGTAGAGAGAAACTCTGACTGTCTTTCAAGATTGCTATTTTACCCTACAACAATAAAACGCATTCCTGAAACCCTGAGGCTCTTGATTCCTGACCTGGCCTACCTCAAAGGCTGGCATCAATCTTGAAAGCCTTCCCTTCCCTCTCCGCAGGGCCAGGTTTACATTCCATCACACCCCACACAACTAAAGCCCCATCTCCCTTTTGTGCCAAAGGAGCATGTCTTCTTTGGTGCAGGCACCATCTTGACTTTTCTGACCCACCCTGCAAAGATCCCCAACCAAATTCTAATTTGATATGTCAGAGTTGGGTTTTGCAGACATACTAACATGGATTGGATAATCTGCACTCCAGCCCTTTTTGCATTTATGGCATTTCCCTTTCCATATATAATCATTTCATCTTGGCTTATTATTGGCTTCCTGTTTTCTCCTGCTATGTTTTTCACCCTTGTGACACCTTTCACGTTGCTGAGAGTTGCTTTGGTGATTGAGTAAAGCTGACTACACAAAGAAATTCATCCTGCGTGGAGCTGGAAGATGGTGTTCGCCTGAAGGAGCAGATTTATTTAAGACAGGCACTGCCTTTCTTCCAGGGTCGTGGGGAAGTCTGCCAAAGACCGGGCTGCTTTAACCAACAGCGGAGAGGCGCCGCTCTCCCCCCGCCTTTCAAAGCATGCACGGCCCAACTTTGCACATGAGTGCAGCAAGGAGGTTTTGCTGGCCAGCAGTCTGCCAGATTCAGCCCTGGATGAGAGCAGAGGGAGGCGAAATGCTCAGCGGGTGCGCTGGCGATGCTCGCTTGCCAGAGCCAGGATTCTAGCTCAGACAGAATGGCTCCCAGGCCCCTGACCTGCAGCCCTGTCTCAGAAAGGCACTGATTTATTTATGATCCTTGATTCCCAGAGGGGGTGGGAAGGAAGATGTGAGTCAAGAGCCATCCATAGCTGCTTTGGTGGAAACCTTTCTCTGCATCTCTTTCCTTCCCTTAAATCAGTGTTTCTCAACCTTGGCAGCTTGAAGATGTGTGGGCTTCAATTCCCAGAATTGTGTGGACTCCCAGATGTGTGGACTTCAATTCCCAGAATTCCCCAGCCAGCCATGCTGGCTGGGGGATTCTGGGAGTTGAAGTCCACACATCTTCAAGCTGCCAAGGTTGAGAAACACTGCCTTAAATTATGAGATGGGGGTGGGGAATATACAAGGAACCTCTCCATTAAATGCACCCCCCCACTGCAACTTCTCCCATTTAGCCAGATCATGGTGCTCTGAAGTGCTTTCTATTGGAGGGCAGGATGAGGGACAGGGCCTCCATCCCCTTCCTGCCCCCCCAGTTCTACTCTCTCACTCACTCTTAGCCAAGTACACTTTGTGGATCAGGCCCGGCAGGACGTGCCCGTTCTCGATGTTGAAGTTGTCGTGAGGCCCAAAGATGTTCGTGGGAATGGCCGCGGTGAAGTGGCAGCCGTGTTGTTCAAAGTATCCCCTGGAGAAAGAAGAGAAATTGGGGGGGGCAGAACATCTGGGGAGCTTATCTGCACAGACACTACCTGATGGAGACGGGAGAGCCGCTCCAAAATCCTGCAGCCCGTCTTCCTAGCAGGCGGGCATCTGTTCGGGACCGCAGTGCCCCAGCCTGCCATGCCCTTCTCTGAACCACAATATGCCACAAAGCCATCCCGAATCACTCAACTTATTAAACACCGTCAATTCAGTGTTGACTCTTAGTAACCCCATCAGTAGCTTTTCTCCATGACAGTGTTTCTCAACCTTAGCAACTTGAAGATGGGTGGACTTCAACTCCCAGAATTCCCCAGCCACCTTCAAGTTGCTGAGGTTGAGAAAAACTGCTCCAGGAGGACATGACCCAAATCTGTTTCCTGACGTGGCCCACCTCCAAGGGCTGACCTGTTGGGACCTACCTGTTCTGCACATCGATCATCCTTTTGGCATAAGCATACCCGAAGTTAGAGCTGTGGGGAGGACCATTGTGAATCTGGAAGGGAAAGCTGCATGTTAGAAAGCCGAAGTCCTCGGGACCATTCTGGAAATGGAGAACTCTGTTTCTCCTCTGGAACCCACCAATAGGCAGGGCAGAGAGAACTCCAAGTACCCACAGGAAGACCAAAGACGATGCAGAAGGAAAGAGCAAAACTCGGAACAATTCCAAGACTGGGGAGGAAAAGGAACATTGAGGAGTAAATCAGGTGCACCCTAGAGATACACCTTTGCGTAAAAGGGATGTACAGGTAGTCCTTGACTTACAACCACAATTGGGACTGGAACTTCCATCACTGAGGTGGTCGTTAAGTGAGTCACGCCCAATTTTATGACCTTTTTGCTGAGGTCATTAAGCAAATCTGGCTTCTCCCATTGACTTTGCTTGTTGGAAGCCCTCTGGGAAGGTTGCAAATGGTGATCACATGACCCCGGGATGCTGCAACCATTGTAAATACATGCTGGTTGCCAAGTGCCTGAATTTTGATCATGTGACCATGGGGACGTTGTAACAGTCGTAAGTGCAAGGACTGGCTGTAAGTCAACTTTTTTCAGTGCCGTCATAACTTTGAATGCTCATTAAACGAACGGTTGTCACTTGAGGACAAGCTGTAACTAGAGGGGATAGGAGTGGAAAAGCTCCTTGGGAGAAATTTGTTGCCATATGCCGCTTTGGCTCAATGTGCTCATAATATCCCACTGCACACAGAATCCATTGGAAGGGGAAGGACGGGATTCCAAACAAGTAAACCAGTTACATTGGTGTAAAGGCACTTCTAGGGCCCAGGATTAGCAGATTGCTTTGGGAAAAGCCTCTGAGGTGCCCTGGGCCACTTGGCACACCGCAATGCCAGGAACAAAGTATTCCGTGGAAGCCGTGCTGTAAAAAAGCCCTGTCAACAAGGGGAAGAAGGTGGGCCCGCGTCACGGCCCTTACCATGGTCTCGTCGATAGGGTAGCTGGTCTTGTCAGGAAATATGCAGGTGGACAGGCAGGAAACGACTTTCTGGACCCCCGACTCGTACGCCGCTTGCAAGACGTTGTCGTTGATGTGGATGTTCTTCCGCTGGCGGAACACAGAGGGGGAGACCGGCAATCAGAGGCGGCCGAGGATGCTGTAAAGCGCTCTCGTGGCTGAAAACGGGGACCGTCTCTCCTGGCTCAGCGTCCTTTGTCCCTCCTCTCTCCCTTTTCTTCCCCAAAAGGTTTTAAGTATTTCATTGATTTGAAAGACACAACTTCTGCTTCCCAACCAGGAACAATACATTGAAAATGCATCGAAAGAGTAAAATAATAGAAAGACAGAAATGTAGGCATACGAGAACGTCTGCAGGTTAGGCCAGAACAGGCTGATCTTTATCAGTTTTTGACAAACAACGGAGAAAAACGGAGTAGCGTTGTCATTGCTCTAAGAAAACGCCCAGAACCATATTCTGATCATGGCAAATTCAATCCTTTTTTTTTTTTTGCAAAGAAATACCCCCCAGATGGAAAACGCCAGCTGAAGACACCCCGATTTGGTGCAGAGACGCTTCCAGTGTGGGGCAGCAAATGCAGCACCTTGCCAGCCTTGTCTAGGCTTGGGGGCCGTTTCAGGTCTGGTGAATACTTGGAAAGGAGACCACCAGAAAATCCAACTAAGCTGCAAAGTCAGAAGCATCCTGGGGGATGGCAACTGCCATTTACTTCCAGTGGTGTCTACGTAATGGCTACATTCACGTTAAGCTCGGTTCAAGGGTACCTTCACTCTTCAGCTTGTTCTGTACAGGCAAAAGGGCCAGATGTTCCTCTGCAAATTCTCCCCCACATGGCACATGGTCAGTTAGTCATGGTGAGCTTCCTTGGGCTAGCACAGAACAAGTCCCTTTCCTGCCTTCTATGCATACAGAAGCACAGCGCATAATCGAGGTGGCATCAGCATGCCAGCAAACGCCACTGAATCCTGGAATGGGGAGGGGAGGGCCACACAGGTGGGGCAGCTCAGGTGGGGCAAAGCATGCTGGGCATTGCAGTTTCCTCAGCCAGGAAGAGCTGACTTTGGCATCAAAAATGGTGCGGCTAGAGATCACATTGTCCTGCTTCGCAGCAAAGCCAAAGGAGAGCTGAAGGAAAGACTCACTTCCGTGTCTTTCCTGTTTCCTATTCACTGCTCAATAATTTTATATTGGAGGGGGGGGGGAATGGAGACATCCAAAGGGAGAAAGCTCCCCCAAGTGTTTTGGCCCAAACCAGGACAACCAAACATCCTGGGTCGTGTTTCTGCCGAAACCCAGCTAATCAGAAACGGTTTGGCCAAACTTCCAGAACATGGCAGCTCATTTCGGGTTCAAAACAGAGCTCCTTTTCATGTGGCGCACTCCTCTACTTAAGGACCGTTCAGGTCCGCAGCATCCTCACCCAGAATTCCAGGTTGTGGCTGAGGTTCTTGAAGAGGCCTCCGACGATGGCCGCCAGGTGGATGACGTGGGTGGGCTTGTGTTTCTCAAAGAGGGCCGTGGTCTCTGCAGCACTCCTGGAGGAGAGGGGGGAGGACAGGGATGGCAGGCAGGGGGATCATTCCCTGGACTAGCCCCACTGATTCCAGCCAGGGCTGGATAGATTTCTCCAACTCACAGACCCCCTCAGCCCCCAGGTCTTGAGAGCAGAACCGCAGCCACACCCGTGGCGCTCCACGGGGGCCCAGCCTATCTCTGCGTGCTCCCACACTCTCCTCCCTCCCTTCCCCTCCTTTCCTTGCTGGGGCTGTGCAGAAGAAGCCGCTGAGCGAGGTGCTCAGCTGATGCAGGCAAAGGACTCACGCACAGAAGAGAGGGGCAGCTGGAATAGGTTGAAGCCATGCCTGTGCTGGGTCTATCCCACACCTGGCTGGATCACAGAGCGCCCTGGGCCTAAGTACCGGATCCCCGGAGAGAGCCCACAAGCAGAGCGAGATGCAAAGTTCATCTTCTCTGCTGGTCCGCCTAGCACCCAGGGAGAACTTTAGTCCTCCAGAAGCTCCCGAAGGCCCTGACAAGCCATCCGTGTTCCCGCCTGCCACTGAACTCCAGAGGTTTATGACAGCTAGGGTGATGTCCTACGGCCCAGCACTTTCATGGGTGATCCAAATTTGAGGAGATTTCCCCCGATGCCTCCAGGGTGGGTTGGAAACATGGTGTCCACCGGGGAGAGGGGGACGTGGTAAAACGGTTGTGCGGATACAACCCAAGCTGTCCTTTTTCTACCTGCACCGTGATGTTGCGTGCTCAAAGGGGAGGGAAAGCATGGCTGGCTGGGGAATTCTGGGAGTTGAGGTCCACACCTCCTCAAGTTGCCAAGGTTGAGAAACACTGGCCTAGAGCCAGGAGGCTGGCTTGAACCCCACCCAATCTGCCTGGCTACCCTCACCCTAAGTGTCTTCTCCAGATCCTCCCAGGTCCTGTGACTGCTGCAAAGCAAAGACAGGACTGTCCTAGGTCCAGCAGAAGACCTCACGCACTCACGTTAAGTCAGCATCTTTGGAGGACGCGAAAATCCACTTCTCGTCTGCCCGGTGTTCCCCGTCTGCAATCACCTTCTGGATGGCCATCCCCACCAGTCCTGAGCCCCCGGTCACCAAGATCCGTTTCTGCCTTCCTGACTCAGCCATGATCACGGGGTCTGCGAGAGAGGACGAAACAAGAGGATCAACTTTTTGGGGTTTTAATTGATAGAATTCTACCTTGATAGATGCTACCTCCATCAGGGCCCCAGAATATTTGCTTAGGCCAAAGCTAATTATCTTTTCCCCATTGCAGAAAAAGCAGGTTGGTCTTCAGCAAATGTTGGCTAAGAAGGAAACTGAACCGGCACGTCCACTACACCAAGGGCGCATCTCTGCTTCCAGAGAACCGATGGGGCAGTGAAGCCCAGAGATCTGTTGTACTTCCCACCCGAATATCCAATGTGGGGGGCACAAACAGCAAGCTTTCCCACCCTCCGGTTTCAATGAACCCTGGCTTATAGAATTAACGCAAAGCACCGAGACGTTGGGTTGGGTGAACCTAAACAATACTTTTTCTCTTGGCAAGGGTAAGGGACCCCTGGCTGACCCCAACACCCTCCCCTGGGTTATTTTATTGCATTTTAGCCCCTTCTTTCTTCCCAAGGCGTGAGAGACCGAGGCAAGAGCAGGAAGTTCTCCCTGTCTCCCATTCTTTCCCTCACGACGACCCTGCGAGGTAGACCGAGCAGAGGAGGAGGGCGTGTGCGCTCGCACGTGCACACAAGACGGGCACGAAGGCAAGAAACGAGATAGCGGGGGGCGGGGTGCAAGCGGGACCTCGACACGGGTCTCCCCGCTTTTTCCAGGCGGGCGCCCTCAGCCTCTCGCGCCCCAGCGCC